CGAAGCTGTTCAATACTTCTTGATCTAGCTGATTTCTGGTTATTGGCTATCCTGGACCAATTGTTAGCCTTTTGAACAATTTAATCACACAGTTGTCCAGTAGATGTAGATCAGGGCTATGGAGAAGCCTGTCCATCGTATAATACTGTTCTGTGACAAGAATGTTTGGATCGACCTTGCAGCATGTACAGTACTCTGGCATTATTTATCTGGAGAACAAAATAACATTAATCAAAATACAACCGTACAACCAGAATACAGCTCATGGAGCCTTATCTATATAATGCTGAGCTTCTGGTCCACTACCTGTTGCATCCTTGTCCATTATTTTGAAAGATTGTACTGGCAGCACTCGACTATGGCACTTACTGTGACAACCTATCAGAAGGCCCTCCCCAGTGGCATCTTTCTACAATGTTTCATTAAACCTTTGCCTCTATCCACTCCCTATGTACACAAGAACATTAGCTCTGCCCAGGTCGAAATTTGCTTTATGGGAAAAATAACAATCCACCACTGTCTGGAGCTCCAGAAGCTCTACTGTACTGTATGTGGGTGCAATTTATGAATTCCTGCTTCCATACTCCCTTCATCTCTTTGGCAATCACTGCAATTGAAACAAAGGACAAAGCTGTATATATGCCTTAAGTGAAGGTTATTTGATGGGATTAGCTACTTACTGTACATACTGTATCTGAGTGCTGTATGTGCAGATTCTTTGGTTTTAACATGCACAAGCACCATCTACCTGCTTACATTTTTGATACGCGTGCAGCATGAAGACAACGTTTAACAACCACAAGCCTACGTGATATATGTTAATAAAGAGCTGGCAGATCATTATAATTTGGGCTCATATGTTCATAAAAAATGCGGTAAATTCCTTGTGAAATGGAGAACACATACAAAAGAAGACAACTGTTCTAAGAGATCTCCTTAAAGTGAATTTACACAAATTATTGTGTAAATAAATTAAAGTTATTAATTACTGCAATGACAAAAGATGTAAACCTGTAACATTTTGAGAAAGTTGTATTAGTGTGCTACACTTCCAGAAATTTCCTTTACAACTCAGGGTACATGATTCACCACAATATAACACTCTCAAGATCAGCTCACACATCATGGAGTGAAGCGGGGCTCCTTCTACAGATAGTCAACTCATAAAAATGGGCAAATCTTGGATTTTCATTGCCTTTTACTTAATGTGCTCAAAATATCTTTTATTTAGTCCCCTTGTGTGTGAGAGATGCTCACTGCTTCCACTGTCCCTCTGAATAAACAGTGCAATCAATCTCAATTTTAACTTGCCTTGTGGTAGAGCTATCATGCTAGCCAGTAATCCAATTCTTGTATTGCACATCTATAGCACAAAATAAATGCACCCTAGGTTGCAGTTTAAGCCAGTCTGCAGTCACAAGTAAGACTCATTATCATCTTACGTATTACATTTCCTGACAAAAGAAAACAGTTCTTTAATGTCGTCAGCATTATGATTATGCTGGAAAAAAGTCTAGTTCTGGTACAATACCCTTTGATACATTTTCTAAAACCTGCAGATTTAACCAATTCTTTTGTTCAGTAGTCCTATAAGGGTATTTCAACATCTAAAGGTCTTCCAGTCTACATACAGTGAGCTTTACATTTGCAGAGAATGGTAGAATTACGCTACTTAAAAAGTCAGTCAGGGGTTCCCTTTTTACTAGAGATTAATAGAGAGCGATCCCAGTAAACCGCCAAGCAGCTCACAGGATAAAACCAGACAAATTATTTAATATCTAGCCCAGAGCCAAATCTAGATATTTCATGTTTAAGTACTGTTACGTCCCCAAGTGTCTAGGGGAAAAGGGGTGTAACATTTAGGATAATTCTTTTGGAAGCAGGTGGGTTTTGGTGAGGGGCTAGGAAGCGTGATAACAAGGGTAAGGAACTAGAGTGGTGCCAAAGGAAAGAAAATAAACAAAATGGAGCTGGCTAGGACAGTGAGGGAAAGCTAATCGGACTACAAAAGAAAACCCGAAACACACGGTCTTCGGTGTCTTCAACACCCTAGCTAACCTGCACTGACTACCCAAACCCATACAAAACAAATGGCACTCACCCGTACTAAACTAGTGTACTAATACAAAATCAACTAAGTGTGTGAAGTGTACCCCAACAACCTAAACTAACCTTATATACAAAAGTTCACACAAAACACAAGTGAACCAGGAATACAAATAAGGGAAAACAAGAGGAATCAAGAGGAACAGGGTACAAAAGAACACAAAGGTTGAACATGTAATACGTTAGGGCAAGGTAATGATATAGCCAAAACCAAACGGGACCGAAGTCAAACGAAAGGCCTCTCCTTCCTGAAAACCTCCATGTGATATGCTGAATAAGATGTGTTCTGATGGGCTGAGAGCTAACTGATGATGACATCAACCGAAAGTGTGGTTTAATGGTGGGCCAATGGGGAAGGGAGAACAATCAAGGGTCAGCAGTGTGGACATAACAGAAAAAACACACACAGAACACACACTGGGACGTAACAGTACTGTACTAAGTATTTATAAGCTGTGAACTACGAATTAATAAGCTTACTAATAGGCTATAATATTAGAAATGTACGATTGGCTCAATATTTATTCATTACCTTGATACAATGTAACTGAACATTGGTTTTAGCAAAAAAATAGTTTATTTTTTGCAATTGGAATATTATGTAAAGCAACTCATATTTGGTCATGATAATTGATTCAACAATCCTTAAGTTAATAGTGTCCTTTCCCAAAAATGTATTTTTCCATTGAGCCCAATTAAAGAAAATGTGAAGCAAGGGGCATATATTTTATTAGTTACTTAGAACAGTGACAGAAATAGATTTTGGTATTAGTTTTTCAAGTATAAAACCAAATTGGAATCTACTATACAGTTAGTATACATTTACCCTTAACCTTCTAACATAGCTTTGTATCATGGTTAGAGCAAGAATGAATTTGACAGTGTGCTTCTAAAACATGTCATGTAACTGTCTCTTTGTTCCTCCTCACCATTTCAAGGTATCAGGCAGATAAGTCTGCTGAAGTATCTGAGAAGCCATCAAATTCATTTCCATATGGTTACCTAGCAACAGAGATTTCCAGGACATTTGGGGTTGCATCACAGTTGAATTATACAGCTGCTGGCACCATAATACTCCCATAAAGCACTGCTGTAACACTGGCCACTGTTTTTTTTCTGCTGTCAAGTTGAAATAGGAAAATGGCATCTGTCCCTTTGTAGAAGTCAGCCATGAGTAGTGTACATTTTTTTTTTCCCACAACAACTTTGGGCCTCAATACTTGTAGTGTTTCTAAACACTGGCAATGTTTTTATTTAATCTGATCTTTCACTGTGTCTTTAATTTTTTCTTAACCCCACATATTCAATACACTTCACCACAATAATGTAATTAACATTTCATTACCAGCATCTGGTGGCACAGAAGGCATAGTTCTTCTAATGTGATTGCTCTTGAAGCATTTCCTGAAGGTTAACACCGATTACAAATGATTGGTTCAATAGCCTGTGAAGCAGCAATAATGCAATTTGAATACTAACACCAGTCCTCAATCCATTCATTTTCTAACCGGCACTTCCAGTCTAGGGTCATGGAGGAGTTGGAGCCCCAGAAAGCAATGGGTGCAATGCAGAATATATACTGGGCAGGACACCAGTTCATCACAGAGCAGACAAACAAATAAAGACAAACACACTCACACAAGAGCCAATTTTCCCAGAAGCCAATTAACCTCCCAGTATGTCTTTGGGCTATGGACGGAAACCGGAGCACCCAGAGAAAACCCACACAAATGCAGGACAAACATACAAACTCCATGCAGACAGCACCCCAGGCCTGGAATTGAACTCAGGGCCACAGCACTGGTTCCACCATGCTATCCACTAACACCATTCCTATAGCTTCTTCTTAAATCACACTTCTATGAAACAGTAGCCAAGATTCAGAACATATTTGTGTCTGGCTCTTTATGATGTAGCTCATTGTTTTCAATGTAAATTCCTATTGAGCTGCCACTTAAGTTATATAATTCCAAAATGACCATAAACAGCTATTCTGGAACTTGTTAAGGTTTTTAGGATCTCAAACCATGATTAAAAGTGGTTTTTTTTCTCCACTGTATATGTAAATTCACTTGACCACAGCACTTTGAAGCTTTGTTTGTCAAATTTCATAAGCTATGCAGGTCTGGGCCTGCTCTGTAGTGGAGACCTCCAGAGAACACCAGGCTGATACTTTAAGTGGTATAGGCATACCAATAGGTGGCGTTCCTCCCTGTGAATCTGCAAGTTTAAAACATATGCCTTAATATGGTGATGAGATCCTGTGCAACCAGAGGTACTGCACTTGAGGTGAGAAGTTAAAAGGATGACTTGATTGGCCATTAAAGATGACATGCAGTAGGACTGTTCATAAGAGCAGGGGAATCCTTTGTGTCCTGGCCAAATTCCCTTCTAGGTTTATTCACTCTGGCCTTCCAGAAGCTCCCTCTTAATTCAAATAGTGAAGTAAATTCTCACCTCTTACCTTGATCTGCTGTGCAGTGGCTGCTGGAACATTACGGCTGCCTCATATCACCCAGGTGGGGCTGTGTCAAAGTTTTATCTGTTGAGCATCTTTTTGGCCTTTCAGTTCTGTTATCATGGCTGTGTTCTTTACTACCAGTACAGCTAACATTTAATGTCACACACTGTTTGGTGTAAGCAGTGAACAAGCAACTGCAGCCCTGTCAAGCTGTCTGTTGAGGCAGATATTAAGGCCCATTTCTGCTGTCCAGCTCTAGTTTGTTGGGTTGCCTGTTGTGACAGATATTAAGTCCCATTTCTGTTGTCCTGCTCCAGTTTGTTTGGTTATCTATTGTGATTGATGTTAAGGTCCATTTCCCTTGTCCTGCTTCAGTTTGTTTGGTTATCTGTTGCGATAGATGTTAAAGTCCATTTCCCTTGTCCTGTTCCAGTTTGTTGCCCAGCCGAACTGCCAGCAGCTCCTAGCGACACTGTGGTATGATGGGTTCCCCGGTTGGCGCCGGCGGCACTGGGCGGTGAAGCTGCTCACCTGCTTCACCATTGGGCTGCTCTTTCCCGTCTTCTCAGTCATCTACCTGATCGCCCCCAAGAGCAGCCTGGGGCTCTTCATCAAGAAGCCCTTCATCAAGTTCATCTGCCACACTGCCTCTTACCTGACCTTCCTCTTCCTGCTCCTGCTGGCCTCGCAGCACATCGTCCGCACCAACCTGCACATGCAAGGCCCACCGCCCACCATTGTGGAGTGGATGATCCTTCCCTGGGTTCTTGGTAAGTCTGCCATTCCCCATGCTGTAGTTGCTTGGGTTGACATCATCCTACTCTTCTAAACAATGTGAAGAAGTAATCAAAAGGGAATATAATGGTAGAAAATAGTAACAATTTGCTAGATAAGTTTCAGTCTGGATTTGTTCAGATATGAGCATAAAGACTGATAATCATAAAGTTAGTTTGATTCTGGCAAAAACACCCACTTTTTGTGCACTGCATATTTTTATTTTACTGGGTAAATTAGGAAACACGTTTTTTCAATAAGATTTAAAAGTTTAGGAGGCTATTGGAAGGAATTTACAATTTCCAATTTCCTCATTAGAGTGGGTGTACCAGTTCTCTGCAGGTTGAAGACAAATTGGGATATTCTTATACCAGTCACCCTAGTGAAAATAACTGCAGTGCTACAAGATTCCTTCTTGCACACTAATAACAAAATAACAGGACAAACTTCCCTCTTCACTGCAGCAGTGTTTTTTTCTGCTTTCAGGGTTTATTTGGGCTGAAATCAAGGAAATGTGGGATGGGGGATTTACGGAGTATGTGCATGACTGGTGGAACCTCATGGATTTCGCCATGAACTCCCTGTACCTCGCAACCATCTCATTGAAGATAGTTGCGTATGTCAAGGTAAACTACTACATTATTTGGACAGAGGTTAATTCAAAACATGGAGCAAGGAGAGAACATGCACTTGGAGTCATATCCATTGACATTGTCATTCTGTATCAGAAACAACACTATTCACTTACAGCATTGAATAAGTGTAAATCATTGTTTTAAGCTTGAGTTCAGAGTTCAGTTTTCTTTGTAGCAAATGAAACTAAAGACTTTATAGTGAACATCATCAAGTGGCATATGACCATTATATTCTACAGTACCTCTCAGAGTGGCCAATGGGCAATGATCCCATTGATCCCATCTCATGATTCACATTGTTTAAGGGGGCAACAATTGTCACAACTCAACCCAGTCTGTTAAAGAACTTGCACCTCAGTTTTCTCTGCCACGTGATACAATCTGATAAGCCTTTTCTGTGTCCAGTTTTGTCTGGACTAAAAGGAAAATGGATGACCCACTGACAGGTGCATCCATGCATTGCAGACAAAACAAATACTGTTAAGTGAAGCGTGGGTCACGGCTGAGTTCTGTATCACATGGCTCTCTGCTGCCTTCCACTCCTCACCACGACTGAGGTGTCACTTGGCAGAATATGAATCAATAGTAGTATTTCTCCTGTTATAGCCTGCAGCCAACACAGTGCACTTTCCCTGTCTATTCTGCAGTCTCGAATTAGCATGTCCAGAGAGGAACATAAAATTGATTATGGTTAGATTGCTTCTGTTGGTGCACAGTGGAGAATAGTTTCACGCTGCCAGATAATGAGATTTCGATTACTTATGCAGACACACTTTTGATTAACATTTGTAAATAATCATTCATTAGCGTATCGTGTGAATGCGACTTTATTACCAATGATTTCTGAATTAACAATGTATTGTTATAAATTTAATACTTAAAAAATAAAAATTTGTTAAGGGCTCCATTAGTAGTCATTAGTGGTCCGCTTATACATTAGTTATTAGTGTAAAATATTGCAGCGTGGCACACTTTCATTTCCAAATATCTGAACAAAAATTTATAATGAGAAAATATCACCCAGGCATCTTCCCCATTTTCCCATTCACAGTGCTATCCATAACCAAGCTCATTCCTTGTGCATTTGATGTTCTTCGCTTTGAACTTATCTGGAGCTATATCAGTTTTATAGTGAAAATGTGTTACTACTTTGTACATAATTTAATGTGACTTGACATGCATGCCTCACAACCTGTTTAAGCTCTGTTTCACTGTAGCTGTGAGCCAATTAAGGTTCCTGTTTCATAATTTGAATTTGTACCAATCTGAGCTTTTGTCATTTTCACCACAAGTTCAACAAATTAGCATTCCTTCATTTAAATGCCACATTGAAACATATGTTAAGAGTAAAAATCTTTTCAAAGCTCTTATTTCTAGTAAACCAAAAAGTTAGATCTTCTAGTAAAAGATATAGCAGATATCATTACTGGAGTTAGCAGTGAAGACTTAACAACTATTGATTAAAGTATATACTGTTCCTAAGCAAGGCGGGAAATCTAAAAGTAAAAGACTTGGAAAAATGCTGAACATCTGAAGAAACGATATACTGTATATAGTATACTGTATATACATTTTAGAAAAAGAAAGTTGATTTTGGATGTGATTAAATTTTTGATGTCATTTGATTAATTGATTATTCATAACTCACCATGATTCACACAAGTATTTTTGTTGCATAAGTACTAAAACACTTGTTTTGTGATATAATTGATTATAAACAGGTGAGGAGGTGATTGAACCTGCTGAATGTCAAGTCTGTTGAGAATGAAGCAAGAAAAACACCATTCAAGACCAATCGATCGGGAGATCCAGCTATGATGCGTCTAGTCATTGCACAATTCCACTTGTAGTGCTTGATAGCAACTTAATGCACACTTCTACATTGGTCAAGTCCTGGCATTTGACTTGCTTCCTCTCCTGATGGGACAACATTCCAGCAGTGAAAAACACACCTTCATGTTGCTTTCTAATAATTGCCCTCTTGTGTGATAAAAATGTGAGAGACGTCATCAGACTTGAGTTCCATTGAACATGTGAGGGATACGTTGTCATGATGTGTGGAAACTGGGACTCGGAGACAACAGGATTGTACTATGAGACAAATGGGACAGAAACCCACAAGACATCTGAAACCTGGTGCAAAGCATGTGTCACACATGTACAGTCTGTAGTGTTTCCAATAGTGGCCACATAAGATACTTCCTGTGACTTTTACATTAGAATTGTATAGTTGATGAAAAATGTTAATCAAAGTTTCACATGTTCAAAGGAGTTCAAGTCTGGTGACTTCTGTCAAATTCCCATCACACAAGAGAGCAATTGTTAGAAAGCTGCATGAAGATGTGTGTTTCGCTGCTGGAATATTGTCACAATAATCACAATCTATAGAGTATGTGCCATGTATGTTCCATAAAATGTCAGTGCATCTGCTACAAAAAAACATTTTTTTGTGTTATTTATAACAGTTATTTTCCTGGTAAACCAGTAATACCAGTTATTTTCCTGGTAATTACTTAGGAATGTGTTTCAGTTTTCAGTAATACATTTTTTTCTATGCTCAAGCTATATATCCATATCTATTATACTGTAAAAGCTACAAGAATATTAGTTCCTTCCCCACATTCAGTTTCCCTTTCTTATTAGATCCTTATTACTTACAAATATCTGTATTCACAACCTCAGGTTTTAAAAGGAGATTCCAACAGCAATTCTAATGTAATATCTATTGGCAGGTGGAACAGCTACAAAGATTGACTTCCTATTGAAACTTTGAAAGTTTCATTCATGTAGAAAAGGAAAACAAAATCATTTGACACATGCTTTGTCTGAAAATGAGATAACCCAGAAAGAAAAGTATAGTAAAACGGCGATTTGTTCTCACCTCTCTCCCTTCTGGTTCCTGTCACGTTCCTTCTGCTCTTGAAAGTACAACAGCTCCCGGCCTCGCGAGGAATGGGAGATGTGGCATCCAACGCTCATCGCTGAAGCCCTCTTCGCCATAGCCAACATCTTCAGTTCCCTGCGGCTCATCTCGTTATTCACTGCCAACTCCCACCTGGGACCCCTGCAGATCTCCCTGGGCAGAATGCTGCTGGACATCCTCAAGTTCCTCTTCATTTACTGCCTCGTCCTGCTGGCTTTCGCCAATGGCCTCAACCAGCTCTACTTCTACTACGAGACCAAAGCTTCTGATGAGCCCAACCACTGCAAGGGCATCCGCTGTGAGAAACAAAACAACGCCTTTTCCACGTAAGTCCCTTAAAAACTGACCAAGATTTATCATTTTTCATATGCAACCTCTTCCACCAGTTACTGCAAACACATAGTCTAGGCAAGCGGTCCAGAGGGATACAGTACCTTTATCTGCTCAATTGTGTCACAGCTTGGCCCTTAATCCCCAGTGCTAATTGATGCCTATAACTTATCTTTTTACTGCACTGTCTTTGATTTTAAAAATGCCCCAGTTAAAGCATATAGTTTCCAGCAGCTTCAGAACACAGAATTTCATGTAATCTCTCTTCAACCAATTACTTAAGAATTTTCTCCCTTATTTCTGACTACACAGCTCTTAATAGTTGATCAATTGATGAGCAGACAGGTGTGAATGACACTATCAGTCATTCCAACAGTGACTCAGTGATTTTCCTTCTGCTAAAGTCTAGTTGATCACGTTCAACTGAATGAGAGCAGTCCTAAAACTCACTAATTAGCACAAGGTTTATCCCAATTACTTTTTAAGAGCTGAAAGTTTTTTTTTTAAAAAGCCTGAAAATAAAAGATGCAAGTGATTCAGAATTCAGCTAGAAAAAAACAGAAAACAGAGGTTACCCAGGACCAGGACTGAAAATCACTGCACTGGGGTATTGTTGAAGCAAAGGCCTGAGTACAGAAAAAAAGTCAGTTACTGACACCAAATGGAACTGTTTAAAGGCCCAGTTGGAACAAAATACAACAGACAAAGAGGAACTCCAGGACTAGAATTAAGCGCCTTTGGAATAAGCAGTCAGAACAGCCAATGACCAGGCTGATGTTACACTTAAATCTTGCAATTTTTGTTCGTATATGATAATAACCATCAATTTATGCCACAAAACAGTCCATGCGCACACTGAACATTTTGCGACATCTGTGGCAAAGATGAGGCAAGGAGATGTGATCAAAAGTTCTGTTACAAAAAGAAAACAAAAGAAGCAGCAAAATATTGAAGGCAGAGATTCAAGATAAAAATAGCAAAAAAACACACACAGAAGCTCTTTCCCGTTATTCTCTTTCCTCCCTGATTCACCTTCTCCTACATATTCACTCATCCAGAACACATACTGTACTTCCATTCTGCATGAATTGCATCACATTTAACAGCAAAAGTGGTGTCTGAGAAACTGATCAGTCAATTCCAATTATCAAGTTGAGCACAGGTGCAACAGCATCAGTTCAGTCTTGCAACATGCATGAGGTCTTGAGCAAGAGCTGTAGTTCTGAAATTGTCCTTCCATACACTGTGCTCATTCCCTCCACAGCTGCTGTGGCTGCACTGATGCAAAATATTAGTCCTGATAATAATAACAATTATAGTGTTCATAATAATAAGTCCTGAACCCATGATATGAAAAAGACTCTTAGAGTACAGTCTGTGCTTTGTCAGATTGGTGAAGCATAAAGAGGTTTATTAAAAACTGCACTTTTAGATGGTTAACATGTCATGCTTGATTGTAATGGTAAATTAATTTATATTTTGCCATGCTTATCTTGCTTTGCATTAGGAAACATGTCATGGTAATGTATTGTACCATGAACCCTATGGAAGAAAACAATGTAAATGACAGTGACCTCTTCCTATTTTTAAGGGAATTAATGAATAATTACTGACTTTGTGACGCTTTATGGGCAATTGTTGCATGTGAACAAAAACACATACAGAAAAAAAGCTATTTTATATCGAGAAAAATGATCAATTCATGTGTAATGTCATTAGGTGTGTGGTTTTCTTTAAAACCCAAAGAAAGAGGCTGTCAATTGCCTTCGCAATATACAGACTTAAGATCAAAATGAAGGTCATCACTGCAGCCATCGTCTGAAGAGTGTCAGAAAGGAAAGGCAGTCTTTCTAGAAGGAATGTCAATGAAACAGCCACTGTGCATTTAAAAAGCTGGCTACAGCCATAAATTTAAAAACAATAACAGGCAGAAGCAGAAAAAAACTTGTCTTTAAGGCAACCTCAAGTCAAAGCTGAGACTGAGATTGCAACTGTTGGCTTTTACGTGCAGTCAATCACAGTCAGCCAGATCAAGTCTGTCTGTAAAATATTCAAATCCTAATGCTGTTGGAGAACGCGGTGTATCAGAGCAAGTGTCACAAGATAGGAAGCAATCTCACTTTTTACAGTATTGTTCTAGGTATTTGTTTGCATTGCATTTTCCCATCAGCATTGCTTTCATTGGCTTTATTAATAGTTCATCTAAAATAAAGGGATTTTTCCAAGGGGAATGTATGAATTTATCATTAGCCACTTATTTGTGAGAAAGGTTACAAAGGAGAGGAAGATATTCAAGCCCATTTGGCTCATTTGAGAGATAGTAGCTAATTGATCCAAGGATCTCATTCAAGTGTTTCTTAAAAGAAGCCAGGCTGGATTGATAATTCCATGCTCCCATTACCCATTGAGTAAAGAACTGCCTCTTGTTCTCTGTCTTAAATGAACTTCCATATACAGTACCAACAA